GGTTTGTGGGAGAAAAATCAGTGACAGTGACTTTTTCCTTATCTCCAGACTTGCACAAGGGTGCTTTCAGCATATCAACAGTTTTATGATATACGTGTCCAAAACAAGCCAAGGTATAAACTTCAAAAGAAATATTGGAGCTTGTTTTTACGAGTAGTTTATGGCAAATTGAAATCATTCCAAAATCCAAAAATTTCAAACTTACGACAGTACCACAACTAAACAGATTGTGGCTCTGAAATAAGTTTAAATATTCGGCAAGATGTAGCTCTTTCGTGGATTTTACAAAGTTTAAATATAATGTATGAGTACTTCAGAACACAATAAAATGAAAATAATTTTTTATGTTGACTAACTTCTCATCTGTGATTCATTCAGGAACATCCTTAATACACAACCTTGGACACATGCACAGTAAATGGATTTTTAACAATTGACTATTGATTCAATTTCAACTTGAGTCTATGTCAACCATGGAAACATACATGTACATGTACTGGGCAAATTAATAATTATAGCGTGAGAAGGACGGAGCTAACATAAGATACTTCAAGTTCATGAAATAAAGCTCTGTGATACTCATTCTAAGGGGGTCTGGACAACTCGACCATTTGCCAACTCCACTTCAGACAACTCGACCATTGAGACGACTCGACCGTCAAATACGTAACACGGAGAGACAAGTCGTCCGTTGAAACAAGTCGTCCGTTGAGACAAGTTGTCCGCTCAGCTAAGTCGTCTGCTGAGACAACCATGTAAAACACTATGCCTAAATAATGGGAGGGAATTTCAAGTAGTAGACAGACATGTCTAATTTCTGAGGTATTATAAAAATGGTGGTTGCAGTAAGTTGATCTTTGCGCTATCTATTGATCTTGCACCCACACTGACCTAGCCACGTATAGTTCCTGAATTTCCTAGTTCTTGATTGCTTGAAATAATAATCTACCTCCTGGTGTTGTTCTTCAGTTCTAAAATCTTCAGATCTCCGATTCACACTTGGACATTTCTGAACTGTTTATAAAAAATCATGGAAGTGAAAAAAAACCCGACAAATACTGGTATTTACTGGGCGATATGTCACTCACTGGTCACTTCAGGTGATCCCCAATACATTTTTGCACTCAACAGTCAAATAAACTTTTACATTTTATGTCTGTTTGATCAAAATGACTTTTAAAGTTTCTGTTTTATTTGACATAGCTGAAAACTGAATGCATCTTTTTTCCCCTAGTCTAGGATTGTGTATTATGCAAACTTCAACTTACTCGTACTATATAGACCTGGCAGAATGTACGTGATGTAATGGGTTCGTCAACAATTACATCAACAACAGTCAAAATTTACGCAAGATGCACTTTTTTAATTCATTGGAATTCCTAGTTATGAACTGGAAGTAATTTTTCTCTAAATTAAGAAATTTTTCATCAGAAAATCAAAATGGATTTCTCATGTGGTTACTTTTATTCATGAAGAAGATTTAGTCACAATCTGAAACTGGGTAAAATGATCCAGAACTAGGAAAACTGCCGTCGTCACTTTGGTCAATCCTGTACATCCAAATCAAAAGCTTAGAAGTTGAAAATAATATTGTAGTATCTTCAACCGCTATTGACTGCAATTCACCGGAATTTGAGGTTTTTTGCAGGTGCAATTTGACTAAATAATTTTCGCGATCCAGAACTGGGAAAATGACTTTATTACATTGTGGTGTTGTCCTTTGTCAAAGTTGAGTTGTCCTAACAGACAACTTGGCAAACAGTCGAGTTGTCTCAATGGTCGAGTCGTCCTGAGTGAAGTTGGCAAACGGTCAAGTTGTCCGACATCCATTCTAAGTACATGGAATACACTGCTAAAATTTCTGGGTTTATTTTCATTTAAGCTTTTTTGACAATTTAGGGCCTAGTTATACCTGGCACAAAAGCAAACACAAGTTCAAATTTGTGGCATCAGATCAAATACTCGTGCTGCCAATTTGCAGACGGTGAACACATTTCAGCTTGGCAATTTCACTGCAAATGTTTTGTGACATCGAATTTACTTCTCTTTCGAATGCACCTGAACATGCTGAAGTATGAACAAGCCATTACTTGAAGTTCACGATCTATTTCAAAATTCTGAGTCCGTGGTTTTTCTCTTCTGAAATATTATTTTCCATGTGAGATATAAATCCTGAATTTTGTTTTGCTGTTTCAGGTTTTTTCATACATGTACGCTTTATGTTGCAGCTTAAAGTAATATAAAGTCTGACAAATATCAGTCTAAAAGAATTATGTATTTGTCATCATGAGCTCGCAGAAAAATACGCGAGGTAACATTTCAAAAATTTGTGGGACAATTCATTATCTCTAAAGTTGTAGCAGATAAGTGACATGAGACTTACATGTATGCAAAACAAACACTTTGATTTTCCCTTGCACTTCGATGATTACAACACAGCTTACATTCTGCAACAATTTGTCCAACATGGTGTGATTGCATCCAAGGTAGGCGTACTTGTACAGTACTAGCCTACCTTAACATTTTTCACAACAAAAATTGACAACATTCATAATTTGTGATAATTTCAAACACTCGTATATATTTGCTTTCAAAGCAGGCAGATTTTTATAAAGACCATAGGCCTATATTAATTTCTTCATTGTTCTTGGCATGAATTTAACCATGTTTAATTCATCTTTCCCCGGTTACCTCCCCCCCCCCATCCTGACCTCCCCATCTCGACGTTTCTGATGCGGGATTTGGTGTTCATTTAAATGTGAAAAGGTACATTGTGAGCGTTAATCTCATAAATGGTACGCGTACCTGTAACCAAAAATATGCACGATCAAGATCACCCATCCCTAGTAGGGAAAACAAGTTTACAGAAAATTACAATTATGCTGTAACTTGTACTGACGACACACGAATGTCGTATGACTATGAGCAGTGTTGCTCTGCACTATGATGACATAGCCCAGGCCTAGTTGATGTCCGATCAATTGATGCTGCAGTGTCATGTCAACGGTTGAGCAACGCACGAAATTTCGTCTGGAGAACGCTAAATTTAACCAAAAATTACAAACCTCGATCAACCGTGCCAAGACACGGCTTGTCTTCCCGTCGGTTCCACTTATCTCCAAATCCCGTGCTGCGTCGCCTGGGTGAAGATACAAAGCCGACAATCCTACGAAAATCACGGTTTTCTGCGGACAGTTTCTCGCGCCGAACCGTCCATGTTGAGTTAACTGCGCCGCAGTAAAGAGTGCATGATGAGCGAACTAAAACATGCGGTATGTTTCCGCGCGTGCGCGGCATGCAAGCGAGGCTAGCTAGCAAAGCCTAATGAACTGTTGAGACGATCCCCTTGTACATTCAACCTTGGGAGGATGGCTGTCGATCTCAAATTATTTAGGCTTTTGTTTTGTTACTTTATGTTAAGAACAAAGTGGAATCTCTCAATTTAGTTCTGCCAATTTTTTCTAAAACATTTTACGTGTCTGCTGCTTATAAGCTTTTTATTTTCTTCAATAACATGTAGCATGAGTGCCATCGCAACGATTCCGTTCAATGGTATCGCCCAATCAAAATTTCCATATATGCACTCATTGTGTTAATGAATGGGAAATCGATACGATTGACGTTTTGCAAACATATTGATTTGTTTGAATTGAATTATAGTGCTTTTCATTTCACAGACTTGAATCTAGTTTTTGTATTGAAGGTTACGATTTTTTCGTGCTGTTTTAATATTACGTCTTTCAAATTATGTCACAAAAACAAGCGCCATGGTTAACGTACACAACCCGTGGTACCAGAAAAGGCGAACGGTATTAGCGCAAGTGTCCGAATGTTCGTCAACCAGTATAGTTGGGTTGGTTTTGTGGGTTGTCTGAAATGTCCGAATTCCAATTTTAAGGCAAAAGAAAAAAAAGGATAACAATGTACGAAAAGATTTTGCTTTGAAGATTCTTTTCCATTAAGCTACAAACATGAACGATTTCAAATAACACTGGTGATACTACTCAGTCGACAATAATGGTGAATTGCAATGGTGCGATTGGCGTCTCATCTGTTCCGTTTTGTGACATTTGTGCGGCAAGCTCAGCGACCGTCCGTCATGTCACTAAACAAAAGGAAACAAGCAACACAATTTATGTATTTTTTTTACAAAATAAAGTACCTGATCATCAATTCGTAATCAAAATGTAACTGAACAATAAAACAAACTTTTGAAGCTTTAAAGAATAAATACGAATCACTCATATTTTTCAGCGTGTCAATCACCACTCTGAAAGAAGGAATTTTGATTGTAAGTGCAGTGATGTAGCCGGGGGGCCTGGGGGCACGTGCCCCCCACAAATTCCCGGTGCCCCCAGGTGCCCCCCCCCCAAAAAAAAAAACACGGAGGAATGGATATTGAACAAGGCCAACAAAAACTTGCCCCTCCCCAAAACACACACCACTGACAGCTGGTGCCCCTTTTGTCCCCCAACCAGTAAAATCCTAGCTACGCCACTGTGTAAGTGTAAGTTAAAAGAGCTCTAAATTCTTATTCTCACCACCAGATATAAGAGATTCCCCCTAAACCTTCTTTTCTTCCCATTAGCTTGTAGATAAATGTAACAATATATAAGGGGGCAGGTCCGAATAAGGAGGAATTCACTTGTTCATTGTTCCCATTACGTGTTTGTGCAACACTCAGACCTTTTTCCTATCGACTTGAGCCTGCCATATTTACAAGAGTGATCAAAGTTTAAATAATGTACATGAGCAATTTTTATCTTGCCCATTTTGGTTCAGTTTGTTTTTAGTAGCAGCTAAGTTTTCATTGTTTGGTGTTTTAGCTGCCTGAGACGTTTCAATAACCTGTGAATTATTGGTTTGCTTTTGTACCGACGGCAAGTCCTAGTTTCCACATCACCGGTTAAATAACCACTGAAATGAGTGTACTGCTCATCCATAAGAATATTGATGTACATGTAATTATATTTATGACCGATCGAATAAAGGAAATTAAAAAAGCACTGTTTGCTACACTTTTTTGCTTTTTGATTATGTTTTGTTTTGTGCATAATATATGCGCTAAACTTGCCTATCTAGAGTGGACCTGTGAACAAACGATGTCCACACGACGCGAAAGGGAAATAGACTAACACAACGTCCATAGGAAGTTTCCCCTTCTCTGAAAAAGAGGCCGGTTTAGATCATTGTGGGCTTCGGGTTATCCGTCGTGAAAGGAAAAAGAACAGTTAAGGGGCCAATTTTGAAAAACCCAGCTGGAAAAGAGCTCACATTTCAAGAAAGATGGGTATTTTCAACGAGTTTTCTTAACTGCGCAAAAACAAAGGAATGTCCATACTAGCTATGGAAGGTAAAAATCTTTGGTGCGTGTGTGGGGGGTGCGTGTGTGTTTTTGTTTTGCTTTTTTTGTTTGCATTTTTTGTGTGTTTCATTTTCGGTTTGTTTGTTTGTTTGTTTGTTTGTTTGTTTGTTGGGGGTGTTTGTTGGGGTGTTTGTTTGTTTGTTGGGGTGTTGGGCTGTTTGTTTGTTTGTTTGTTTGTTNGGGGTGTATGCACCTCCACCTGCATCTCGGGACCACTGTTGGAATACACACCAACAAAGTGGGGACTTTTGAACAAGTGGGGACCGAAAACCCGGTCCCCACATTTTTATTTCAGAATTGAGCTCTAAAGAGGGCGATATGCTCCCTGTACCAGAATAAGGTCGGTCCTCAGATTGAGGTGTTTAACCATACGTTGTTTGTTTGGTCCCGAAAAGGAGGTGTGTTTTCTGTCAAAATTGTTTCTTTCAATAAAGAACATAAAGTTAGAGCGCCCTCTTGTGGTTGGGGATTGCCTGTGCACATGCAAGGCCTTGTATAGTGCCTGCAGTTTAGCTGTCCTGCAAACACTTTGATGCGTTCGGCACTTACAGCCGTAGTCATGCCCACACTGTGTGTTGGCTGAGTTCATCAACTGGCGCTGAATATCTACTTAATTTAGAGGTAAGTGAATATATCATTGTGTAATTATTCGGAAATGAGTTTGAAAAGGTTTCAAGACTGGAAAATCAGAACATTCAGAGCAAAGTCATGGTAGGCCTACTTAAATGTAAGTTGTAAACCGTAGCTGAAAATATATTTATTTGAGGGTTTCTGTTATTTTGTACTTTTAGCGGGGGTGGTTTTTTAAAGTTTTTTCTGTGCAAATGATCAAAAAGGACGTATGTTATCAGTAATAAAGGGCGTCTGGGTTGACTTTCAAATTAGGCCTAGGGCCTATCTCAATAATGCATGATATTGTGTAATGTCAATGCAGGCCTGGAGTTCATTTACCAGTGGAAAGAAATTACAGAAAGGACAATTCAAGCTTAGGTGGCAGTGCATTTAAATCTTTTGAATTAATTGTTTTATTGTCTGGGTAATGTGGACATGAAACCACTCTGTGATTCTGCAGAAAACCTTAATATTGGGCTAAGTTTTGTTACTGTTAGCCTGTTATTTTTAATCTTCATTTTGAAGTTGATCAGTTTTATCTCTGCATGTGATGTCATCTGCAATGAGATCATTAGAAACTGTTTTCTTAAACTATGAGGTTGGTGATAATTATTTGCATTTTGAGCAAAGCGTAGAGGGAAGTAAACCAGTATAATCCATAAAATTAAACATCCATCATCCAAGTGAGATTTTTTAGGGTTCCAGATGGTTCTTATTTGGTGTTCACGTTCCGCAGAATCTCTAAAATTACAGAAAGTACAGGGCTTTTTCATAACAGATTTAGTCCTTTTAGTAAGCAATATTGTTAGAACAGATAGAATAGAATGATCCTTTACCAACAATGCACAATCTGGAAGAGTTTACCAAATTTGGCTAATAATTTGTTGTTTTGCCTTTTTGCACTAGTTTATTTCATTCTGATAATGTTAACTGGCCATCCTTCTTGCATGCCAATGATTCATCAAAGAAACAGTAATATGTTAAATAATTCACACAAGGAACCTGACTGTGATTATTCCTTTCGTTTTTTCCTGTTCTCAACATTGTTATAAGCCATTAATATATCTAAATTATCGCACTTGCTTGCTTGTCACTAACTCATAAAGCTAATGACAGCTGATACATTTTTAGCAAAGCAGAAAAAGAAACAAACCTGGATAAGTCTATAAAGGTATATTTTAATTTTTGTGGGGGGGGTGTGAGATTTCAATTTGTGTCTAGACCCTCTGAATCATTACAATTACATAATATATATACTGTGGAAAGCTGTTTCTTAGCAGATCTGGTGCTTTTTTACTTTTAAGTTTACAAAGCAAGGGACCTTTCATACTATGCATATCCCTCACATTTGGGAATACCAATTTCAACTTAGCCAAAAAAGTCAGACCTGACATATGGATCTATATCCCTTTACAAGAATGTGACCCTCATTAATATTACTGAAAACGGTATTTGTACACTGAGGGAAAAACTTTCTTTCGGATTGAAAGATTTTGGCAATCCACTTGACCGTAAATCCTTTTTAAATCACCAGGGTGACACCCATGCAAGAAACTCTTAAAGGTCTTTTGCTACTTATCAGATTTATAAAGAAACCCAAAACCAAGTCGGTTTAAGTGTTAATGCAAGCATCCACAAATTAAGAAGGGTAAGGGGTAACTTAGAAAAGTATTTTTGTGAAAGAAAAAAGTTGGAGGGACAAGGTGTAGTGATGTTTTTGAAACCATTTTTTACATATATATTGGTGATGTACTTGAAGGGAATAACTTAACCCTGAAGTGCCTGATATTTTTTACAAGGGACAAAAGGTCAACTTGTTTCAGTTCAGGTCAGGGTAAGGGTAAAGGTTTACACTGAAGGATTTGACATCTGGAACTTTAAGGACAAGGACAGTTAAGGTTTATGACTTTGCTCTTGTGATGTGCCAGGGGAAGGTTTGAGATGTGGAAGGTACACCACATGCAGAAAGCATGGGAAGAAACAAATCAGGCTTACTCTATAAAACATCAAATTCCACTGAATGAATTTTGTTGTTGTAGCAAGATGTTTACTATTAGGTGTCTATTTCCCCCTCTAAAATTTAAAAAAAAAAGTTCAGAGCCTTTTCACAGATGTGGTGCTTTTTACTTTTCGTTTTACAAAATGAAACAAAACTGTGCATATCCCTTCAATTTGGTTAAATCATGCATTATTAACAATAAGCCGCTGATATAGCTAAGAAATTGTAGGCCTAGTACAGTGTACTTGCAACAACACACCAAGTCCATGGTTTATTGCTCCCAAGATACCAACTGGCAGTGCCCTCTTGGCCCTGAAGGCCAGGCTCTACATATGGATACACATGGAGACCTGTTAGCAAGAATGTGACCTTCATTAAATATTACTGAAAAGGGTTCTCAGTGGGGACAAGGCCTTTTAGAGAGAAACTACTCCGAAATTATATTTTAAAAGTTTTAAAAGAAATAGGGGATTACAGAAACTTCCCTCGAATTTTCTGGTCTTTGATTTTGTTTATCGAGTGGATTTTCACTTAAATGGAGTGAAGTTGAAAAGAAATGAGTGTGCACTAAACCTTTCTGTGAAGTTCGTATTCTTTATTATTTTTATTTTCATATTACAGGATGTCTCGTTTAAGAAAATCAAGGATGACCCCATCTCAGCAGGCATGTGAAGCCTGTAGAAAAAAGGAAGACAGTGATGGTTTCGAAGTGCGATACATCGACGATTACATAGGTATGTTACAAAACCTTGTCCTTCGTGACTATGAAGTACGTAGCCAAGAAATATTACGCAAACATTACCAATACTGCTTTTAAAAATACATCTAGGTTCTTAGATGTGTACATAGCACTTTTAAATATGATCAACCTGCATAGCACTATTATTAGTCTTATTATAAATAAACAAATAACTTGTCTCATACTGCCGCCCTCCTCTCATACTCCTCCATCTCCCCCCAAAAAGGTATAAATATTGTTTAATTGTTTGAGTGCAAATTTAAACCAAGTTCCTGAATTTTTCCACATGGTTAGCACATGGCAAATGCTTCATGACTAAAATCTTCAGATTGTTGAGTTGAGTTGTTCTTGTTAATTTTGGATGTCAATCTGCAGGACATGGAACGTTTGTGACAAAGGACTTTGCCAAGGGTGACTTTCTCCTACAGTACCGAGGAGAAGTGATTTCCCAATCTGAAGGGGAAAGTCGCCAAGAGAGCTACCCAGTTGAAAAAGGGAGCTTCCTTTACTTTTTTCAGGATAAAGGAAATTCACTCTGGTAAGCTGACTCTGTGGTTTTCCCTGTGGTTTAGATGAAATTATTTGTGTGTGTGTCTGTGTTATTTTTAATACTTGCAGCGTTGTACTGCAGGGCAACATTCAATAATGTAAGGAAAATTCATTTAATATTTAAATAAATTTCAGTGTATTTTTTTCTGAATGGCATTTGACAGTAAAAATGAAACAAAAACGTTAAGAACGTTTTAATTGTCAACAATCTTTCAGCGTTGATGGCACCAATTCAGATGGTGCCTGTCGAATGGTAAATGATGCCCCCTTGAAAAAGTCCAACTCCCAAATGAAGGTGATTTCTGTGGACGGTACACCATGTCTTTGCCTGTTCGCTCGCGAGGATATAGCAGCAGGACAAGAGCTAAGGTATGACTACGGTGACGAAAGTGTCCCCTGGCGACAAAAGGTAAGCCAACTGACTGCATTATCGTTTTCAAGTGCATGCAGAATCACAAATAAAGCAAGGCCACAAGTCACAGAAATGTTAAAAACATTTTTGATGAAAGTAGCAATTCTAAATGCAATTTAAAGTCTATGGCCCTATTGAAAGAAGCTTCATCGAACATCTGTTTTCAAAAAGTGACAGATCTTCAATGGTAAAAAATTTATCTTTAAAAAAGCTTTACACAAAATGCAATTCCAATTTTAAGTTGAAAGGAAGATTGAAAATGTGTTTTGCATTTGTTCTGTGCTACTCTTACAAACTGGTTACCTCCTTTTTAATTTTCTCATGACAGAACATTGATCATCAGTCCTTTGATCATGAGTTTCCCGAGGTATGTACATGTACACGTATTTTCATGTAGGTTGTGTTGACTAGGAGCATAGAACAGCTCAAAATTTAAAAGCCGCTCAATTATATTTCACCTTTACAAACTAAATTCAGTCCAAACTGCTTTTTCAAAAAGACACTTCACAAAAGAGATTCAACCATCATCCAAACATTCCCTTTTCCCCTTTATCTTTAAAGTGAAAATGTTTTCATTTCCAGTGAAACTTTCACCTTATTTCCAATGGTTTCTTATCATACATGTACTTTCAGAGATGGGCATCACAGCTCCAGCAACTGAAAACCAGTGCGAAACAAAAACATGTTGGACAGGTAGCATTCAGCAGGCAGTTGGCTATTGCAGAGGGTTGTAATGGTTCAAAAATCTACCTTGGCTTCTTTGGTGAGAAACAGCTACCAGTGGCGGTAAAACGTGTCAATAGTGATCACGTAGGAAAAGAAGTTGAAATACTTCAAAGTCTTCAAGGAAAGCATTTGACAAATGTCTTGCAAACCTTCTGTGTTGAGCATGATGAAGATTTTACCTATCTTGCATCTGAGTTGTGTGAAATGAATATACAAGAGGTTGTTGAAGCGACGCTTCCTTTTGCCGACAAGCACCGCACAGACGAGGGCCGGAAGAAACTATGCCTTGGGTTTTTAAACGGCCTCCAGGAATTACACAGCCTTGGCATAGTTCACCGTGACATCAAGCCTGCTAATGCTTTGATCGGTATGCTGACACTGTAATTAGAAATTTGCTTATAATAGTACCCTCATGGGATTTTGTTGAAGGTTGCGACACCAAACAAAACCTGACATTAGTGACAAAATGGTTTTGTTAACGTCTTTTTATGACGTATGCATCCTCATAAAATTGTCCGAGCAATTTGATGCAGGGTTATATTTTCATTTAGTGCACTCTTCTTTCAATTTTGCATTGACTGCTTGCCAATGTTTTAGCAGCCACGTGTAAGAGAACATGACCATGGTGTGAAAAAAGGGAGACAATGGGATTTTTTGAGCAGGACATGCTGTTTTGGAGAGTTTTCATTGAAAGAAAGGATTTTTTTTGTACAGACACCAAGGGTGATGTTAAAATTGCTGACTTTGGTGTGTCTCGCCGGATGATGGGTCAAACAACTCTATTTACCCAATCCATTGGGACAATCTGCTGGATGGCCATTGAAAGCCTTCAGGGAGAAATGGTGAAATATAAGAAGTCTTCAGATATACAGGTACATATATTTACAAGCCATGAAACATGTTGAATGATTTTAGTACTCATTTCCTTTTAAGGAGGTTAGTATGCAGGTCCATTAAAATTACAATGTAAACATGGTAAATGTCCATTTTGGAAATATTGTTTTGCATTCTCCAATCTGTTTGAACCAGGACTCATTTCCTTGCTACTCGTGAACGACCAAAAAATACAAGATATTATTAAATGGCTTTCTGACCCCCAGCTTCATGTTGAATCTCTCATTACACAGTCCTTGAAATATGAAAGGCAGTTTAATTCATCAGAAAACTTCTACAATGACGTTTTCTGTATGTGAAGAAAACCTGTGCATAAGTCACCTGAGTACCCTAAAACATTCTGAAGAGAGAAACTGTTTGTTTCTCTTTTTTGTCAAGGTAGATTCCCTGGCTTTACTGTTTAAAATGGAGCTACATACCATTACTGCGTAGAGGGGCTTGTAATCTATTAAAGATATAAAGCAAGTTAATTTTCAGATGATTCTTGGAAAATATGTATTTGAGGCTGCACATGTACTTTGATTTCGTATCATAGGCAACTGTCAGGCATGACTACATCATCAAAGTGCCCAATTTGTTTAACTACATATAATATAGTGCTATATGTGAATGCTTTTGACTAAAGCAAGCCAGTAAACAAATGCTGCAGTCCATTTTTGTGGCTTTTTGTAGATGACTGGCTGCCTTGTATATTACATTCTGAGTGATGGACACATCCCGCATGAGACAGCAATTCCCTACACAAAAGAGCCAGAGGGTGTGGTCCGTAATCTCAAAGCAGGAACCTTTCACTTGGAACATCTTGGGAGCTTCTTGTATATGCAGCCCCTTATCAGGGAAATGGTGTCCTCAGAGGAGAAGGATAGGCCCTCCATAGAATTCTGCTTAGAGAAGTTTCAAGGTAATGAGGAAAGTTTCTCACACATTCAACACAGAACAAAATTTTCATCCTTACGAATTATGTTACTATGTATTGGTAGGTAATTCTGGTAAAATCTGTGAGCATTATTTGATTGTTTTCTTTTCTTAAAAGACCTGTCAAAGCAAACTCTGCAGGTCTCATCAACAAAGGGAACGTCATTGGTTGCATCGCTATTAACTTCAAAGGAACAGGTGAGCCTTTGATCACAGGTCCTTTGAGATTCAATTATTAAGAGCATTGTACTTTAAAACATGTCACGTAGAACTGGATTTTACCTTCAATCACCCAAAACACTTTAGAGGATTTCCATGTATTCATAAGCATTTCCTGTGTTTTATGCAGAGAAAAGTTAAACAACTTGCAAGGGAGACCGCCTGTGCATATACACGTGATTTTGACAGTTTCACCACTCACGTCGTCATTCCCACTGGTAATGAAATTGATTTAATTGCTTAAAAAGCAATCCATGCACTTGCAGGACATGGAGACTTCTAATTCCATGGATGTGATCACTACTATTTTTGGACAAACATATAGTTTGGCTGAAGTTGCCACACACAAGTTGGCAGGTCGCTAGGGATTTAAACCGAGCTGTATTTTTTATCCATTCTTAAAATTGAGGGCTGGATTACCCGAGGATGTCTTTTTTGTTATCGCAGAAATGCTTTGTAATTATGTATTGTTTGCTGTCTCCCAAATTAAATAATGAAACCAAAATAGATGCAGTATTACTTTATGGGAATATTATGTTTAATTCATCCTTATTTGTAGATGACAACCAGCTTGCCAAAGAAAGATCTTTAAAGTTTCTTCAGGGAATTGCTGCCAGAGTTTGGATCATCAGCTTCAAATGTAAGGATTTCTAGTATAGAAAGTCTGTTGTAAACGTAGCTCCACTGAAAATCACATTTTTTTAGATTTATTTTTTTCTTTCATTAATTGTCATTGCTTTTGCTGTAATGTAAGTAGCCTTGTCTGCTCCATCTTTTGCCTATTTTCAACACAGACACTGCGATAGCATCATTAATAATAATCCATTAAAAATGTATCAATTTGTTGGGCATAATCTGCCCAAAATGTACCCTATGTAGTGAAAAATCTGCATATTTAAGCATGATTCATCGTTTATTTCTCCAGGGATAACAGAATCTTTAGAAAGAGGCCAGATGCTTCCAGAAAAAGATTTTGAAGTAAAAGGAGATACGGTGATGGGAAAAACACATGGTCCAGAACGAGCTAGACTTTGGCAAGCAGAGGCACTCCTTCATACTCATGTTGCATATGTCCTTGGTGCATCAGCAAAGCTTCCTAAAGGTATGAAATATGCTAAGCCTTGATATTTTGTGAGACAAACATGGGAAATATTTACAATAAATATTTTTCACAAATGTGACATTGATTTGCCTATTTTAAAGGATACTTCTTCAAAACACTTGCAGTAGAAGGATATGTTCCACAAGTTAATTTGTGTTTACGTACAGGCAGATCCCTCGGTTTTTGTTACATACATGCCTCATATTGAGACATTCATTTTCTGGATAAAATTTGTAAAATAGAGCAATCGGTTCTGCTCATAATTTTGAAAACACTTAAAGAGCCAGCTTTTTTGGACCATTTCACATGCAGCGGGTGGGATTGTGCCTTCCTTTCTAATAGCTAAATTATCGTGGCCAATTTTATTAAAAGTTTGCCCACCAATAGTCAATATAAATGTTCTGTTTCAAGTAATCTTGTGTAGTTTTGTATGGTAATTTATTCAAAGTTAAAAAGTTCATGCATGAAAACCTGCGACAATATCATGAAAATATCAAGAGCGCAGATTCTGTCCCACTTGGGCTTTTTAGGATTAATTAATGCATCAAACAGTGTGTGATTTGATACATTTTGTGTGTGTTTCAGACTGCGTCCTGACGCTTCTTAAAATGTGTGGGGCGACAACAGTGGACTCATCTTCAAAACTTACTTCTGTGTCACAAAATCTCATTCGGGTCGTCATTGATTGTGTACATGATACTGACTATCCTTTTGACAGTGCCATCAAAGGTAAAGCCATATTTAAAATCCTAAACACAAAGACTAATGTGATAGAAATAGGTGTGATACTTTGAATTTCTATCAAATTACTCAGAATCAGCAAAAATTTGCTCATAACTATAATTTTCTTTTTCTTTTGTACAGATCTAAGTACAAAATATGAAGTGCCCATTGTCACCAAGGAGTGGCTTTTGGACAGCATTGGCTCATACACAATCCAACCCTTCCAGAAATATCAATTAGAGGATGAGATCTCTGGTGAGCAAAGTTCTGCCAAAGGTAACTTGTTGGTGCAGATTTATATTAGAGGAAATCTTTATGAATGCAGATTTGATTTTTCTTCCCTCCGTCACAAGGTTTTCAGCAGAAAGCAGGTTTTCTACAACTAGTAAGGTACACTGTGTGATCACATAAACAGTTGCAAAATTCTGCAATTCGCAGCTTTTTAATGAACCGGTTAAATGTCTCCTTGGTATTTGTACTGAATAACAGCTAAATGTGTTTTTATGAAAAACTTCTAGGCAATACAGCCTCCTTTGGAAGGACGTCAACGCTAGAAGAACTAGACCTTTCTGAAAAGGTACATGTATTCCACAGTGGCAACATTTTGCAGTACAGTGGCCTATCCACTATAATGACATGGCCTATTTTCCATATTCTTAAAACCCCAAAGTAAATATTTGAAGAAAGCTATTTAAAGAAAATTGGTTGTGTTAATAGTCGTGTCATATTTTATGAATCTTTCCCTGACAGGAAGCTTACTCAGAAAACCTTGGAATTGACTGTGAAATATCTGTGAGTGGATCTGACATGATCAGTAGCCAAGCGTCTGACAAAGTAGGAGCTTCTTCAGACATATGTGTAAGCAACAATGGGCCTACAAACTCAGTAAATTTCAATTGGTAAATTTCTGGGTCAAAAAATTTCAAAACAAATGTTTAAAAAACCTGAATTGAATATCAGTGGCCAAATAAATTCATAAGATTATGGACAAGTTGAGTTATAAGAGCTCTTTACTAGAAGCAGTTTTTCCTTTCTATTCTTACTTCAGTTTACTAGGTTTATAAGGTTTGGACGGGTTTGGGTGAGTATATTCTATGCAGACACTATTTACACTTTTCCTTCTAAATTTTGTCCATTTGTTTTAAAATAGAGTGACTCTGAAAGTGAGTATGAGCCATCTGGAACCAGCTCTGACGAAAGTGAAGAATCTTGCCCACAGTCTCCAAAGCGCATTTGCAAACGAGAGGAAGAAGGTGTCACTCTTTCCTCGGAAAGGGGAACCCAGGAAATGGGAGGTGATCATGTGCGTTATTGGAAAAGGAATCCAGTGAGTTAGTTTGTCTATTCAGTATACAGAGAATCTGTTCTTTTTCAACAGGGCGTACATTATGTCCTGTTGCAGCAATTAAAATGCATTAAACAAGTTAACTCTGCACGTGACAATGTTGATTTGTATTTACTCATAACATTAAAAAGTTCTCAATGCCATATAGGTCAATTCTTGGAAATTAATAGGATTCTGATAGCCAGCATGAAAATGTCAATGATTTTAAGACTATATTGCTTTTTTTTGGCAGCCTCACCAGAATCGTGGCTGTGACAGTGCAGGAGAGGAAACTGTTCCAGCTTCTAACATAGTCAGCACAGACCATGCAGACAAGGAGTCGAACGGAAGCGTTTGTATTAGATGTAACTACAACAAAGTATACATACTGCCTTTACTGTGGTACCAAACAAAGAAAAATCTCGCGCCACTGTAAAAGAGTCCATTCAGGGGAAACACTTGTTTCCGAGGTACTTGCATTACCAAAAGACAGTAAAGCCCAGAAGAGGCAAAAGTGGCAACATATAGGAAACCTCGGCAACCATGAACACAACTTGGAGGTGCTAAAAAATGAAAAACATGACCTAATAGTTAGAAAGCGGCCTAGAACAAATAACACTGAAAAACATAGTGTCCAAAACTACGTGCCATGTAGTACGTGTTTTGGATATTTCCACGCAAAGACCTTGTGGAAGCATAAAGAAAAGTGTCCTCGTCAATTCTCTGAGGGTAAGAGAACCTCAAATCATGTACGAGAAGGGCGCATGCTTCTTCCCACAAAAATCAGCGTTTCGTTACAACTGCAGCATGCCCTTCGAGACATGAAAAATGATAAATTGTCTTTAATAGTCAGAAACGACAGAGAAATATTACAAGTTGGGGGGAACGTCCTTGGGGTAAGCAATTCCAATAGGCGAGAGGACAAGGCCAGGGAGAGAATGAGGACACTTGGCAAAATACTTAGCATTTCCAGGGACCTTAATGACAACATTAAGCAGGCAAAAGATTTGGTGTTGCCGTCCTCCTTCGATAATGTTGTCGAAGCAGCCCTCACTTTGTCTGGTTATAACTACGAAAATCAGACATATGAGGCATACTCAACTGCGCTGAGAGTAGGTTTTGCTCTGACAGATTTGGCGGTTGTTGTTAAGAACAATAATATAAGGGATCAGAACCGTGATAACATCTCAAAAGCAGATGATTTCTTGCACCTTTTAAAGAGTGAGTGGCGTGTGAAAGTGTCAGCATGTGCCCAGCGACAACAGCAGGAGAAGGCTTGGAAAGCACCAAAGATTCTCCCCTTAACAGAGGATTGCATGAAGTTGAATAATTTCCTAAAGAAAAGGGAAGAACACCTTAAAGCAGACATCAGGGAAACTGGTATGTCAACCACGACATACAGAGATCTTGCGCGTATTACTTTAACTCAAGTAATATTATACAACCGAAGGCGTCCAAAAGAAGTAGAATTGCTCACAGTAAGGCATTATAAAGAAAGTCTTGAGAGCAAGAGACCAGTTCAAGATGAGGTTAAGAAATCCCTCACCGCACCAGAAAAAATAGCCCTGAAGAGGCTGAGTTTGATAATGGTGCGGGGCAAAAGAGGAAGAGGGGTTCCCATACTTCTTCCACCACACTTGAGAGAAAGTATGGATTTACTTGCCCACTACAACAAAGACAGAGAATTTCTCTTTTCAAGGACAAGTGAGGGTGCCTCAACTCCGATAAGGGCATATCAGGTTGTTTCCGACCTAGCTTCTGTTGCATCGCCCAGATTAAAACACCCAGAAAACATGAGATGTACCAAGCTCAGGAAACACCTGGCAACATTATCCCAGTTAATAGATTTGAAAAAGAATGAGTTGGAGCAGCTTGCTACCCACATGGGCCATGACATATCAGTCCATCGTGAGTACTACCGTCTCCCTATGGAGACGGTTCTCTTGGCCAAAATGAGCAAGCTGCTCCACCTTGCTCATGAGGGTAAAACAGCCAAGTATAAAGGCAAGTCCCTCCAAGATATCGATGTTGAGTTAAATGAGTCAATTCCGCCGATTTCAAATAACGAAGTCAGTGAAAGTGAAGGAGAAAGTGAAGAAGATGAAATACAAGAGCAGGAGTTGCGATGTGATGATGTGCACATCACCAAATCGCAGAAGAAAGCTCCTGGCAAGGTGAAAAACCTCACAAAGCATACTGACTACCGTGTAAAAGATGGTAAAATGGGCAAAACGTATCTCAGACATTATAACAGGTGGAGCTCCAAACAAGAAAAGTTTCTCCGTGCTCAAAAAGAACTTCAAATTTTCTTTAAAACCAAAAAAGCACCAGGGAAGTCATTGTGCATGTTGATTCTTAAAAGGGGAGGTCCTCTTCTGGAATCAAAGACATGGATGGAAGTGCGCAATAAAGTTCATAATTTAAATAACAAAGCGAAAGCAAAACTAAAAAAAATGGAACTTCAGGCCAAGTGAAAAGTTCAAATTGCCCTGCAGTCTTTGTAATTAGGATATATTCGCTGTCATAATTACCCTAACCTAATTATGTTTTATACAGAACTTCAATAGCTGCATTGCAGTTGGGGATATTCTCTCGAAAGGAGAATTCCGTATTTTCTCAGTTCTAAGTCAAAAGCAATTAAATAGATAATTGCGCTGTATTGAATCTCACTCGATCTGCTGCTTATAGGGCAGATGACTAAGATTGCATGCCTGAGAGTGGCAGATGAATTATCTGCGGCCGACTTTTTTTTCCATCGTCATGTCCCCGTCGCACTCACAAATAAGTTCTAGGTAGCTGCAAACTATTTACTTTTCTTTCATTTTTACGATGTGATTTCCACTGCACCCCATCGCAACAGTTAATTTATTTCAGATAAGACACTAATTGAAATAAATCGAGTTGAATTTTTCCACTCCACCATTAATTTAGCTTTAGCGAAAACAGATTTCTGTACCCGTTAAAAACGTCCGCACTTAAACTCTGGAGAACTGTCTGAAAATAGCTTTAATGGCTGAAGTCATAAAATGAATTAATTGCCTGAAGATTTTTTTATTTGTAATTCAAAACAACTACATGCACGCCTTTTGAAGGTTCCTATGATGTACTTTACCCGTTTATCTGGGACAAGGAAAGGTTTCTTGGGCAATACTACAGTATCCAGGAAACTTGTAAAAAAAACAGCAATCTGTAATTTCTAGCTAAACAAAGCCTGCGTAAATGTTGTAATTTAAACCACGATTTTAAAATATGTTTGGAAGTGTTTCAGTGGCTCTAGTGCTCTTCATAAAGGATAAAATCCCCAAATTTCCTTCATGTGGACAAAATTTCAATGCAACCATTGCATTGTTGATTGTAAATATGTTGTACAAAATTGTTGGATCCTGCCATCAGGTAGAAAGATATATAGGGAAAATTTACAACCATCATTTTGGAAACATCAATTCTGTAAAACCGCAAATTCTTTTCTTCTGTGGACCATTTAATTTTAGACAAAGTGTGGAAAATGCCACAATCCCTCATGCACAATAAAATTTTTAATTGGTGCCACGAAAACGGTGTTGCACTTTTGTCTCTGATGGTTGCTGGGTACATATAAGTTTATAATTTGCCGATAGCCAATGTCTTGATGCTTCAAGTTTTTTGCAACTGAGAGTAGAGTACTTGACAAATATCATGCCAGAGTTTGTTTTTACCATTTATATCGAAACCTTTTTTTCATGGTTGTCCTTAATGTTGCTATTTGGGCTGTGTTACTGTTGATGTCACGTTAAATCAAACTGAGCTTTTACGAAGAATCTGAATGCGTATGTAGATTGACTCCTTCAAATGTGGGGGTTTATTTTGATTGATACTTTTTAACATTATAATGTCGTGTAAAGGCCAGCAGGGACTCAAAGACGAACTTACATGTACGTGAGGCATGTCAACGCACCAGCATTAGCCATGGCATGAAACTTCCCGAAAGTACTGATCAAAATTCAGTATTAACTTTTGAATCCTGTGTAAGTATTTTGTGTAGTTGTTTCTTTATGCCCACAGCCAAGTTGTAGTTGGGGGATGTCACAGTCTACACTGTTAAATGATATAGTTAAATGAGTAGTATTGTACTGTATTTTTCTAACATTAATCTACTATTAACAAAGTTTAAAAGTAAATAAACGTGTTTGTTACACTATTTACTGCGCTTTTGTGAATGTAGGACAATACTGTATAATTAACAGTAATATTTAACGGTATAAGCTTTGTCCTCAATTTGCATATTGACACAAATGGAGCGATGCTACTTTTGCCGAGTAATTTTCGTTACGCAAGTAGGCTATTTGACATTAGTCTGACAAATGTTCGTGCTTTTTGTAAGTACTTTTACACGTAAATGCGAACCATTCCCTAAAACCGATAAATTGAACGTAAAAAAATGAAAAATCTTACTTGTTCATATTCTATCCATGATTGTCCATGGAAGCCGAACAGTGCACATTATGTGGCATGCCAGTGCACATTAGGAATGTAAATAAGGTTCCGACGCGACCAAGGCATCTAAACATGAAGTTTGCATATCTGAAATACGTAATTATATTTTAACTGTTAAAATTAACATGAATTTGATAATCCTTTATCAATAGAACTTATACCTAAATACATATGTAGAATGAACCTGAAATCAATGAAAACTGTAACTTGCTGTTCTAATGTATACATACAATTAAATGAGATGATACTGTTGTGTTACGGTTAATTACTGTCCAATAAATGACAACGATTTACCGTAACAAATTACCATAAATCATAAACAATAGTATACTGGCGCCCGTGCTTTTCCAGTATTAAGTCCGGAAAAATGTACAGAGTATTTTTTTTTCAAAATGTGGAGTCTGGTAGCATGAAGGGCAATAAAATCCCAAAAGTACCTGTGTACAATGATTACTTTGTGTATTGTCATTTCAAAATAAAAGTCAGGCATTGTGCTACAGCAAAGAAAACTTGACATTATAGTTGCCATCCAGTTGTTTGTTGCCTACAAATTGTGTCAGTGTTCGAAAGACATACAGAAAAAAAATATCTGGTTGCAAGCAGTTATTGTGAAGTCATAATGTGGAATAAATGCCGCAGTTTTAATGATGTGATCTCAGAAAATTGGATGATCCTCTCAGATCAGCAACAATGCTATTTGAACATTCCCTGAAACGGTCGTGTGACAGACGACTGTACATCGCTCACTCTCAATTCGACATTATAGCCATGGAGAGGAATAACACTTGGAATTAACTCATGTTTGGTCCCGGGATTGTGGCTGGTACAC